ATATATTATATGTTTATAATATATATAAATATACCACAATTGTATATTTACTTAAAAATATAATTCACTCACCCCTGATGCCTTGGCAGGGCCAGGCCAAACGATTTCTCAGGCCTTATATGGCCCGCGGGCCGGACGTTCCCCACCCCTGCTCTAGCGGTTGGGACTATAGGGAACGTGTGTGTGTGTGTGTGTGTGTGTGTGTGTGTGTGAGAAACACTGGGCATTTTACTTTATGTGTACATGTCTTTCATAAGCAGAGAAGAAGGTACACTCTCTTGCAGAGGGAAAGGAAAGGGTGGGTTCCATGTCCATTTAAGGATATGTATGCAGTGGAATCGTGGTTAAGATACGCCTTATCCTAATCACACCCTTCTATGTATCCTAAAAATCAAATGCTTATTTAACGTATAAACAGATATGTTACATGTTATGCCATGATTCCGTGCCTGGCTGAGAGGTGGGGATTTTAGTAATTAGTGGACAGAAGGGAAACCTTATAGATTCACAGACTCCTATTTCAAATCCTCTTGTAAAACTGGTAACACCTGTTTTCTGCGGGTAGATCCCTGTGTTTACCCAGATGTTGTGCTTAAACAGAGGTAGGCAGATTTTTAAAACTCTTAATGTTTCATTTTTAAAGAAGCAGAACTGAGATGACAGCTTTTAAGATAAATTTAATAGAGAATAAAATCCCATAGAAAGTTGAATTTAATATTTTCCAAATTTAACATCAACTTGGAATTTACCCTATATTCAACCAATTGCATTGTTAAATAGATAAACTATATTAAAAATACAGATTGTGGATACTTATTCATTTTTCTTCCCTCCCCCCCGCCAGTATTATTCTGTATTGGGTTCAGGGGTACCGCACGGTGGTCAGACCATCCTATTCTTTACAAAGTGCTCCCTGATATTTCCAGTGTGCCCCCCCCCACACCATCCATAGTTAAGACACTGTTGACTGTACTTTACATTCCTGTTGTAACAGCCCATCTGCACTTCTCAATCCCTTCCCTTTTCACCCCGTCCCCCACTCCGCTCCCCTCCACACTCATGTTTCTAAAACCTGAGCAACAGGATTATCTTTTAATCAAGTGCTTTAAGCAACAAATGTCTCTCCCATCAAATTGGCAACAGTTCCGATCACTCTGACTCTAAAGGTGACCACCTTCCTCTTTTGGGGGGCGTGACCCTCAGAGGAGAAGACGAACAAAACCACGTTAAGGACGTAGGTCAGCGGCCTTTAGGTCAGTAACTGGAGTCCATAGCTTTTGTCCAGCAAAGTCTCCCAGACGGAACTGTCCGCCTTCCCAAACCTCCGGCTCTTCCCTGTCAGAGAGAGCCGCGCTCTGCGTGTAATACCTGGCGTGGCCACCCGGTGGCACCCGAGGCCCGGCTCAGAGGTGTCAAGGTGCCACTTGCCACAGAATGCGGTTGCCCGCTCACAGGCTCCTGGAAGAGAGAGCCTGCTGCTCCCGCTTCCTTCACTGGTCCTCTGCTCTCAGGGCCGCACGTGCCCGTATAGTTGTAGGAGGAACTTCTCTGCCACGTCCCGGGGAAAGACGATGGCAGAGTGGAGACAGCGCCAGCTCACTGCGGGGTGCGTGTGTCCCAAAATGTTTCCCCCGAGCCCTGGAGGTTACTGCACTGCCTGCACCAGTGTTCACTGGGAGGTGATGTACGTAACCCACGGACAGGTTAACAATGACTTAGTAATGTGCTAGCATTTCTTGACATTCAATATTTCTCCATAGGTCAATGAAAAAAAAGGCCCTCTCAATTATGTTTAATTATCCGAATGCCCAGAATTGTTAACGTCGCATTAAATCAATTTCTATTCAAGGAGATTGGTATTTATTACTTAAATTCAAGTTATTAATTGTGTTATGTTGGGTATTCTCTCAACAGATTGGATTCTTCAAAAGACCACTAAAGAAGAAAATGGAGAAATGAAATATTTTACAAGAGAAAAAAATAATTATTCAATGATCTTTCCTCAGGTTTGCCTCAAATATGTGACAAGAAATTTATAAATATAACTAAAGACAGTCACATAAATTTATATAATCCATCAGGGTTAATCACTTGGAAAATGAAGAGATCGAGCAAGATCCAAAAGCAATACCATATATATTTTATAAAATGATAAAAATATTTTTAAATAATTACTCATTTTTGTTGAGTATTTAAGCAGACAGTGTTTTGAAGATGAAGAATAACCTGTAGAAATATGTTTATATATGAAATCACCATTCAAAGTATTTAAGAAATGCATAGAAAGATTTTTATGATCATTGAAACATTTATGTTCAGAACATTATAAGTTAAGCTTTTTTCATTGATTCCTCCTCAATATACATCAGCATGAAAGTCAGCATTTGTAAATGCTGAGGAAGAAATTAACTCAAGAAGATTACGCCCCCCGATTCAAGTGATGAACATTTCCCGGGTGGAGGCTCTCATGGACCGAAACGGAATTAAACCACCGAGAATCATGCGTTCGGCAGCTTTGTCTTGGACTCAGTACTCGGGAGGTTTCCTTCCCAAAGTGTTTGGACACTCGTGCGATTGCGCTGAGACTCCGTCGGTGGATGGGACATCAAGGAAGACTTGTTTCACAGCAAATGCACTGACAAGCTCCGTAAGCTTTGACAAAACAGGCCTCATTCTGACCTTGAGCTCGAAGCTCACATCCTTTCCTACTGAAACAAACAAACAAAATCCCTGAGAGCAGCTTCGTGTCCCGGCAGCGATTCCTCATGACAAGCCGCGTCGGGCGTGGGACCCGCTGACGTGGACTCTGAGTGGGACGTTGCAGCGGGAACGGCCCCCGAGGACGGGAGAGGCCCCCAGCGGAGCCGACACAGCAGCAGCTTCCCGGCCCCGGTCCGGCCGCCCAGCCCTCGGCGTGGGGGGAGCGCTGGCCTTTGTTTCTGAAGGCGATTCACTGTCCAAGCCTCGGACCCCACGGACGGGGCCTCCCTCCGCCTTGCATGTCACCAGGAAGCCAGGCTTCTGAGCGCGGCCCGAGCCGCACACGGGACTCCAGAAACGCCTTTCGAGGGACCTCGGGTTTGACACCTCAGCCCACGGAAAGATGCCCCCGCGGGGGGGTGTTGGCTGCTCTTGAGGCAGCGTCAGGGCGGGACTCACACGGCCTGAGCTCCGGCTTGATTTCAGAGAGGAAGGCAGCGGGAGAGAGAGAGGAACATCAGTGATGAGAGAATCACTGACCAGCTGCCTCCTGCACGCCCTGCACCGGGGATCCAGCCCACAACCCGGGCCTGTGGCCTGACCGGGAATCAAACCCTGACCTCCTGGTTCATAGGTTGACACTCAACCACGGAGCCACGCTGGCTGGGCCCTGGCTTTCATTTTTTAAAACTGATTTCTGTGGAATTACCCGAGGACTCGGGGTCAGCAGCCCCATGGCTCTCCGCATGGACCTCTGCGATCCTGATAGTCAAGGTCAAAGCCAGGCCTCCAGGGAGAAACAAGGTTATCACAGCCGGGAGAAAGGCTAGGTCTCTCCTGAGCTGGCCTCCACCCGCCACCTGTGGCTGCAGAGCTGTCCACTTAGGAGTTTCCTCCACCCCCACCCCCGCCTCCAGGTGTCGAAACCCTTCTTCCTCCCAACACGACTTCCTTTGCTGAGCCAAGCTCGGCCTCTGACTCAGTCACCGGTGGACAGTCCCGCGCACAGCTGGGCCGCAGCACCGCCCTGGGCTCACGCCTCCTCAGATAAGCCGACGGCGGGGAAGGTGACATTCACACACAGCATCTGAGACACCAGGAACGCAGCCCCTGAGCCAGGGGTGCGCACTTAGACCACAAGCTTTGCACACAAAGGGAGTGGAGAGGATGGCGCTGGGACTCCTTAGAGAGAGAGAAAGGGCTGCTGGGCCGGTCAATCACATGTCACTTCTGGGTTTTAAGTAGAATATTTAGTGAACCTGATGCCCCATTTCCCGAGTATGATCGTTTGTTGAGGTTTATGTGTGTCTCTGTGTGTATGCGTGTTTGTGTGCATGAATACACACGCACAGGCACACAGGCACAGATTCCATACAAAATGCCCCACTAGCACCAAGTGGCAGTTTACAGAAAATAAACACAGAAAAGCCACACCAAAAAGAAAGGTTTGATTCATTTTCAGTAGCGTGTAACATGAGCATCCAGTTCTGCAACTAAAAATAAGGCCACAGGCCTCCCTCCCAAGTACCTCCTACAAACATCCTAGCATAGTCCGTGATTCAGAAATAGACTCAACTTTATCATTTAATTTTAAGCTATTTAATAGGAAAAGTAGGGGGAACTTACGCCTGTTTATGAAGTTATTAGCTACGTTCAATTGCGGGATACTTCCTTTTTTGAGCTGATTATTGCTTACCCTGTGAGATGAACTGTGACGTCCCTTTCTTGACCCAGCCATGGTGTGTTGGTAAATTCTTTAACTCTCTCTCCAAAGGGAAAAACTTTTGCATTTTTGTCCCATTTCTGTGCTCTGAATAGTCCCGCCATATGGCCACATTCCCAGCTCCCAACGGGACCCTCACCGGCTTGCAAAATCCCCAGAAATGTCTGTCGGCCCGTTCTAGAGGCGGCATGACCATGACGGACAGATAGGCAGATAGATATGGAGATTTAACATGTTGTACATACACACATAGGCAAACACAGTAGTTATAGTTCAAACGATGCTTAACCTACTGATCTCAAGCCCAGCAGACACAGTGCTCACAGTTCCCCTTGCTTCCATGTCAGTGTCTAAAACATTAACAAAATGCTCTGGCCTTGCGGTGGGGGGGTTGGGGGGGGGCGCGGCTGGAAGCCAGGGTGCGTGAGATGGACATGAAGCCGGCTCCACGCCCACAGCGCAGCTCTCCTGGGGACGCAGAGCGGGAGCAGCAGGGGACGGTCCTCCTTCGTCAACATTGACCTTCTCTCCCTCAGCGTGAGCTCCAGGGAGCAGCCGGCCCTCTGTGCTCAGTGGCTCTCCCTGAGCAGTGGCTCCTGGACAATCTAATCTCTGAATGTTTTCTGCTGTAATTGTTCTGGAAATGAAGTTGCGGACGGAGATCTGTTTTACAACATGTGCTGCTCGCTCCACCCTGAGAATTGTGCCTGTGATGACGATGTAGACCCTCTCTCTCTTATGAAACCAGCACGTGTCAGGCTCCGTTGGAAAGCACAGATTCGCACCCAGAGCCAGGCCGCTGCCCAGGGCCGGGGAGACACGGGGTGGTGTCGAGGCCTTGAGCAGCGCTGCCCCTTCTCTCAGCATCCTCGCCCCCACCCACGGGCCACCGCCCGCAGCGTGAGCGAGGCCCCCAGGTCCCACGCCGCTTCACACAGGTCCTCCGTGGGAAGTCCGCCTCACCCGCCATCTGCCACCCCAGAGACACGCGGTGAGCAGGCGGGGCAGCCGGCCCGGAGCGCGGGGCGCCAGGGGCTGTCACGTTCTTGGTCGAATCAAGAGGCTTCTGGCAAATGCATGTTGAAGACTTCATACCCCATGCACCTTCCTGAGGCCCCGCCCTTGGTCTCCCCCCGAGGGAGGTTCCCAGCCACAGGGAGAGAGTGTGTCCACCCGCTCTGCCGGGAAGCCCGCTCCGAGAGGTGATGGCCAAGGGGGTGGCGGCTGCGGCTTCAGGCCTCGCCCCTCTGGGCCTCTCGGGACCGCAAGCACCGCACAGAGGGGGAGAGGCGGTGCGCGTCGGAGAGGGGCCGTCCTAGGGGACAGGCCACTGTGGGTTCCCGGCAGCTCTCTACCGTGCGGGCTCCCTCAGCACCCAGTCCCCGCCTCACCCAGGAAATGACCCGGGACATGCAGAAGGCTCTGTAACGTCTCACGGCGACGATGCTGCTTTTTACTAAGAGCAGGGCTGGGAGCGGCAGACTCCACGTGCAAACCCGCCGCAGGGGGAGCACTGGGCACTCCTTCCAGGCGGCGCTGCCCACAGTCCCTTCCCAGAGAACGGAGGCGGCCCCGACGTGAGCTCCTCAGGGCGAGCCCAGGGCCAGGCCACCTCGGCGGCCGGAGGAGAGAGACAGGGGCCACCGTCCAACCTGGGAACCCGATGAACAGGTCGGCCTCACTGAGCCGCCTGTCAACATGGGCCTTGAGTTTAGAAATTGCAAAGAAGAGCCTTTCAGGTCAGCCACGAGGAAGGCAGAGGAGCTGGCATAGGCCCTCCGGGCAGCCCTCTGTCTCCCCGACTCCTGGCCCTGGGGGCACAGGGTCTACTGAAGAGAAGGGACCCTCTGCCCCTACAGGGGCCCCAGCTTCCCTCCTGAACCGGCTGGGTGCCTGGACCAGTCCGCACATCACACATGCACACACACATTGCACACACACATTGCACATGCACATCACACACATACAGACATCACACCCATATCGCACATGCATATCACACATGCGCACCCACATCACACATGCACACGCCACCTGGCTGAACTCTGGACATTCCACAAATATGCACGTGCCTTGGCCTCTCCCCGTCACCACTGAGCTTGGAGCCTCACTCGAGGCTCCCCTGCCTTTCCCTCCCGCGCGGGCTGGAGCATTTCAGTCCCTGAGCCCCGGGCACGGAACCTCTGTGCTGTCCGTGCCCCTCTCTCCCCGCTGCACCCTGGAGGTACAGAGGCCACCCAGCCCTGTGCCCCGCAGGCCTTGAGGGGTGGCGTGCCCCTGCTGAGCCCCAGAATCCCTCCATTATCTGAGACCGTGGAAATCGAGGCAGTAACCGAGGGACCAGTGACACTCAGCCCATGGCTGCGTTTGACTCCAACCTCGTCCGGGTCACACCTGCGTGAAAGCAGACTTGCGGGGACTGTAGGGGCCCCGGGCGGACGAGGCTGTAATGTGTCCCTTCAGCCGGACCTCAGTACCCTGGGGACGATGTGAAAGGCGAGCAGCAAAGGCAGGTGTCCTCCCCAACAGCCCTGCTGACGTCACCGGTCCTCCCTTTAGGGGGGGGGGGGGGGGGGGGGGGGGGGGGGGGGACCCCCTTCCCCCCCCCCCCCCCCCCCCCCCCCCGGGGAGGGAATGGGGCTTTCGGAGGGAGGGGGGCAGAGCCAGGTGCCGGGCACTGTCCCACCCCAGCACCTCGCCTCCAGGCTGTCCGTGCCCCTCTCTCCCCGCTGCACCCTGGAGGTGCAGAGGCCACCCAGCCCTGTGCCCCGCAGGCCTTGAGGGGTGGCGTGCCCCTGCTGAGCCCCAGAATCCCTCCATTATCTGAGACCGTGGAAATCGAGGCAGTAACCGAGGGACCAGTGACACTCAGCCCATGGCTGCGTTTGACTCCAACCTCGTCCGGGTCACACCTGCGTGAAAGCAGACTTGCGGGGACTGTAGGGGCCCCGGGCGGACGAGGCTGTAATGTGTCCCTTCAGCCGGACCTCAGTACCCTGGGGACGATGTGAAAGGCGAGCAGCAAAGGCAGGTGTCCTCCCCAACAGCCCTGCTGACGTCACCGGTCCTCACCCCCTTTCAGGGCGGAGGGAGGTGGGAGGGGGAGGAGGGTGACAGCTCTTCCCTCCCTCCTCAGCCAGCCAAGCAGAGGGGAGCCCTCCCCCCCGGGGAGGGAACGGGGCTTTCAGAGGGAGGGGGGCAGAGCCAGGTGCCGGGCGCTGTCCCACCCCAGCACCTCGCCTCTGGGGAGAGAGGATAAAGGAGGCGGAGGAGAGGGAGCTCTGTGTCTTTCATGTGGACACCCTCCTCCTCCTCCTCCTCCTCCTCCTCCTCCTCCAAAGACTAAACTCCCCGAGACCACCTCGTCCCTGCCCCAGCGGGCACAGGCGCTTTCACCGCAAATGCCTGAGTAAGTCCCGCACCAGGCGCTCTGCCCGCGGCAGGGAGTTCTCATGTGGACACCCTCCTCCTCCTCCTCCTCCTCCTCCAAAGACTAAACCCCCCAAGACCGCCCCGTCCCTGCCCCAGCGGCACAGGCACTTTCACAGCAAACGGCTGAGTAAGTCCCGCACCAGGCGCTCTGCCCGCCACAGGGAGTTGCACACACGGGGCTCCAGTGAAACCAGCGCGGGCAGCAGCCGCAGCTCAGCCCCCTTCCCGCTGGGGCCGCTTCCCATGCTTGTCCCAACACCCAGTGTCTATTTCTGAGATGCCCGCCCTGGTCAGGACGCGACACCCCGCGCCCCATCGGCCGCAGGAGACGCTGTCCGTGTGCTCCTACTGTGCGCTTGTGCAATCGCTCATGGACGGTGTGAAGAACTGTGCCCACTGTGTCAAAGGAGAAGCATTGTATGGAATAACTACTGCCCCACACGTCACATGCACAGCAATAAACTCTGCATGGTCTACCACCAAGAGCTCGCGCTTCTGGTCTTTTAAATATGTTTGTATTCATGTTTAGAGCGAGAGGAAGGGGAGGGGTTGGAGAGAGAGAAACATCAATGAAAGTGGGACATCATCCATGGGCCGCCGCCTGCACGCCCCCAACGGGGGATCGAGCCGGCAACCCGGACATGTGCCCTGACCGGGAATCCAACCAGCGGCTTCTTGGTTCCTGGGTCGATGCTCAAAGGCTGAGCCCCGGCCGGCACAATGCTTAGTGTGTTATGTGCCTCAGAATAAACTGCGCGTTTCTACGAGCCTTTTTCTGGGACAAAGTGATTAGAAGCTGTTTTGATCGCATTCAGGAACAAAGAAGGGCGACCTCTGTTGACTCTAGTTGTTTATTAGGGACCTAATTTAAACCGTGTTTTAAAGGAAGTCGGTTATGGGGTAGCAGTGAGTTAAACGGGTAAAATTAGAACGAGCTGAGCGAGCAGGCGCTTTGCGAATATCCTGCGTGCAGCATCCTGTGCGCGGGTTCGAGGCCAGAGGCCCGCTGCCTCTGTGTGGTTCTCTCTGACCTTGCGCATCGGCCGTGTGTTCTACGGCAAGTGGACGGGCATCCTGTCTTCTACGTTAAGTAAACAGTGACTCAGAGGCGGATGTGGTCACTGTGACTCCGAGTTCATGAATTTTACCCGGGACTAATATGTCCTTCAAGCTGCGGCTTTTTATTTATTAATTTATTTTAGCTCCTCAGGTGCTACAAGCGGGCAGCGGTGAATTTAGTCCGTCTCTGGTGTTTCCTGGGCACAGCACATGGCGCTGCGGTCAGCCTTCTGCAAACTCGAGACAAAAACCACAGGATCCATCTTACCGCACATCTTCCCCTAACGAGAGCTTTTAATAATAAATTCTCTGCAGCAGAGTGACCCACAGGACCACACAGTGCGAAACAAAGAAACACTGAGAAGTCAGAAGGAGTTATGTGCTTTGTTCAAGCTGTAGTTTGAAGAAATAAAATTATTTCCTAGAGCAGGGCTGGCAGGAAATGTAGGAAAACTGTGCAGTGGGAATAGCACGGGTTCGCCTTGCGAAAGATTCGTCCTCAAATTCTGCAGCCGCTGCGTGAGAGCTGTTCTTCCAGCAGAAGCGATGGCGCTATGAGAGGGGATTTGTGTTTTTGTTGTTGTTTTAGGAGGGGAAAGCATTTTTATTTTGTAATCCTTATTGTTGAAAGTATTGCATAGGCCCCTTACCCTGCTTGCCCATGCCCAGCCCGCCCGGCCCCGCCTGGTGCCTGTGAAGTCCTACGGCTGCTGTGGCA